AGATTAAAAATACATCTTTAAGCAGGCTTCCTAAGGAATTAAGGCTTACAGCATTGTGCTGTCTGTCAATCCTTTCCTAATAATAAAACTGTATTATTTAATCTACTGGCCAATTTCAGCCAAATTTGGCAGGGGAGTAGCTATTAAACCTCAAAGATATTAAGTTCTTAAAACTTTCATGAAGCTGGGAGAGAGATCACATTCAAGCCCTCTCTGAGGAGGGACCTAAACAAGGGTTCAACTATATTATTAGATTATACCAGATAATATTATTGCAAATAATGTATATGTTATTGTATTATAACAGAGAATGCACATGAGAGTGGAAGAGAGAGAGGCATTATGAAAGTCCAGCTCTGGGAAGTACCTGCAAGTAGTTTTAGACACCACAGGCTCTATCCTCTGGCCACAGTGCAGCAGCAAGCCCAGCTTTGCTCCTCTGCTGCCTGAGGAACTCCTTGGTTCTCAGGGGCTTCTCAAATTCCCTCATGTTGCAGGTCTCATAAATTCCTAGATAGTTACATCAGGTATAACTTTTTACATTGGAATACTGCTGTGGTTTGCTTTCTGGAAGCTTGCCTTGTTATTTGGAGCTTGGGCTCGTGAATAAGATCAGTGACTGCTTCCAGGTAAGCGTTTGTGTTTTCAGAAGGGCTGTCTTCATACTTGTAAATAAAATGGACAAAAGCCTCTTCTCTGGCCCTAAAGGCAAGTGACAAAACATAGCTAGCTAGCCGAAATTTCTCTCCTCTGAAACTGGGTGGCCAACTTCATCCTGCTTGTGGGGAATGGTCCCTGGCCTGAGCCTCCCCTGAAGCTTGCCTAGGCCCTGTCTGGGAAAGCGCCAGCTCACATGAGCACAGTATGGGTGAACACAGCGTCCAGGGACATGTTTGCAACCAAACATTTCAGATGTGGCCTTCCTTAGCTTGCCAGCAGTGCTGTAGCCAAGAATGCTGACAGGCCAGCTTGGTATCATCTGTACTATTGGGAGCAAACAGAAAAGAGGGAGGAATGATTTTATTCTTCTCAGTCACCTGGGCCAGGATATCAGTTGGCTTGGATTGCATCAGGAGCCTGCTAGATCCTTGTCTCTTCAGCAAACTGCCCATGCTGATATGGAATAAAGTTCTTTGAAGATGAAGATGTACCAAAGCTGCACCTATCATCTTTACATTCAAAGTCCTTTACAAAGGGGAGTAGCGTTTTAAATGTCTGCGCCTACCAGCGGTTTGTTTAGCATCCTTGAAGCAAACCCTTGTAGAGGAGCAATCTGGTTTCAGCTGCTAATGCAAAGTTGTAGGAAAGCCAAGAGAAGTCAATGACTCCTTCAGTGTTAAAACTAAAGGCTCAGAACTGCAGAGGTTTTGTCGGGTGCTTTCTGAGAGACATGTGGGGCTTTCAAAAGCTGTTCCCAATGTTGGTCTTCAACAAAACCTGAAAAACCCTATTAAAGACTTCATCAGGAAGGGTGAAAGAAAAAGGCAGCTGTACCACAAGAGT